GTCGGGGGATTCCAGAGCCAGGCTTGGCTGCTGCCTCTCACTACCTGCTCTCCAAAAGGGAAGTTTTTAAAGGGTTTTATTTTTCCAGGTTTCCTGTGAAGCCAGCAATGCTGAGCTGCTCTGTTGTGTTCTTGTTGTTCCTAACGCGAGGCCACGGGTAACCCACGGCGCTAAGCCAGGACACGTTCTCCAGATATCTGGTTGTGTTTGGGAGCTGCTTTTCCTTGATAAAGTCAGAGCGTCTGTTCTACATCGTATTGTTCTGGCTGCAGCATGTAGGATGCTCAGACAAATGTTTCGGTTCAGGTTTCAAACACACACAAACGAGTTTTCCCTCACTCGGCTGGGGCAGGCGCAGCCCAGCCCGCGGCTCGGCGGCACGCCGGCTCCCTGCGGGACAGGCACCGCTGGGCTCCCACTGCCGCCAGGCACCCGCCTCCCCCTTCATGCCAGCCAGAGTCATGGGCGCCAAACAACCCATCTCCTGGAGCACTGGAGCCTCGGCCGGGACTGCGGGCACAGCCGCCCGCAGCCACCCACCGCCTGCACGTGAGCTCGGCACACGCAGGGCTCGAGGGGTTGCCAAACCAGATCAACTTAGGAAATGGTTTGTTACCTGGATGCAGGTCTGTGGCAGGAATACCCTTCAGGTGGTCTGAGTATCAATCATACCAGTTGGGCTTAAAGACTAAGTCTGGTTTAACTACATAGGTTTTAAGATGACCTTGGAATTAAAACAAAGCTGGGCTGTGTATAGATAAATGATTTTTTTTTCTTTAAGCTAATGCTTAAATAAAGCTGTGGTTTGTGCTGTAATCATCCTATGTGGCCAAAAGATGGACACTGCAGTGGCACTGGGGTCCGCTACCGCTGAGCTGGCACTACCGGCAGTGCTGAGCTCATACAGGTTTGGGAAAATGCTTATTTTGAACACTTTACTTGAGCAGAATGCGCTTACTGTTCCCTGAAGAGGGACTGTAGTATTTTAGTACAACTATCCCAGCACAGTGGCAGTGGAAGCCACAGACTCGAACACAGGCATATGTAAGTAACTCTCTTCTAGAAAGAATCTGATGGGAGGGGAAAAAAAATAATTGCATTTATCTGTTTTGGTGACTACTTTGTTTTCAAGAGTCAGCTTTCTGATACTCTTTTCATATGGAGCAACAGTTTATGCCATGGAAAATGATGCAGTTTTCTGAATGAGATGTTTTCTGAATAAGATGTTTCGGGATCCCTCGGAAAAGAGGAGCCGGTGATAAAGGAGCAGCCAGCACCGAGGGGGCTTCACCCCGCAGCGTCCAGTGGTACCTGGCATAGGCTGGGCAGGGCTGGTGGCACGAAGACGATGGAGATGAGATGGGTCTGGAGATACCTGTGCACAGACAAGCTGGAAATGGGAGTGAAGAATTGTCCTGGAGTTTGCCCTGGAGTAACTTTTTCTTGGAACGTTCATTACCCGCTATGGATCCCGGCTGCGTTTGTTCGAGAGCAATGTGGTTAACGTGGGCCTTGGCAGGCAGTGCCGGTCCCTTTCTAAACACAGCTGGGAATTCTGCAGGAACACTGAGGAGGGTCTGTTTGTTTGTGTTCGCACAGTAACACAATGTTGCTTTCTGGACGGTTAAAATAATATTTCCCATTATCTGGGGTACTGCGTTTATCAAACAAGCACGGGAAAAGAAGCTCCTGCTCCCTGAGGTGACAGACTGGCAGTTGTAGAAAAGGTGGTCTCCTTCAGTGAACTTTTGACAGGTTTGTGTAACGTCTTCCCTCTTCTAGAGCACGTGAAGCAAACAACGGGTTATTTTTCTTTTCAGATAATTAACTGAAAAAGTGAAGCTGAAGTATCTGATGATCACAGAAGACACTCTACTGCAAATACTGCGTGCTCCACCACAGTGAACGTTGCTTTGAATGTTCAACAAGAGCAAAGAAGATGCACCAGATCACAAGATAGAAAGGAGAAACAAACATTTGTTTCTTCCCTCGGAAGTGGTGGATTCCCCACTTTCCGATAATATCACACTAGAAGCAAGACTTAGGGGAGTCACTGCTCAAAGCCGAGCTTAAAATACGAACAGAAGTAACTGAGGAACTTTGTGAAATCACTGCTGTGACTGGGATGATACTTAATTCCTGGCCCAAGTGTTGGGATGCTCCTTTCTGGAGCAACATCACGCAGCACGGTGAGCCGTCGCACAGTCTGTGTCGCAGCCTCAGCTCTTGTCTCGTAGTCCCATCCCCTTCGCTGCGGAAGAGCCTTCCTCTTCAGCTTGCTCATCTTGCTTGAGTCTTCTCTCTCTCCCACTCCGTATGTCCAGGATGTTACTAAATCTCTCCCCGTTTTTCCCTGCAGTACTGGGAATGACTGCCCTCTCTGCACTGGCTCAGGCAGGCTCTGGAGGCCCTGGTTGTCCCGGCGCTGCCGTAGCCCCTCCCCTGTGTGCCGGCTGCTCGGGCTCTGCCCTTGGCACGGAGGCACGCTGGCTCCTCCTGCCCTGCCTCAGGCTTCAGCTCCTCCATCCCACGTTCCTGCAGAGCAACACTGCGCTCCGGGACCTCTCCCCAAATCCCGGCCGGTTGCTGCTCCCTCTTTGCCCGCTCTTTGCTCCCAGCTTTTCTGAGAGCAGATTGCTGATGGGATGTTTTCGTCCCTGTCCCCCCCAAATACCCAGTTATCCCTTCAGGCCTGCACACAATGAAAAAGGATAAAGGAAAGACGCTTTGTTTTGCTTATAAAAAATAAATAAATAGGGTGAGGCTTTATTATCAGGCAATCTTGGCCGTTTGGATACTGGGCCACACAGGGGTCATCTCCTGCGCCGTGCACGTGCAGTGGGATGCGACAGTCTCGGGAGGCTCTTCCAGCAGCGCTGTCACCTTGCGGAGCGCTCGGTACTCTTGCTCCCTGTCTGACAGCGCGTTGCCTGCTCCCACGCAGCTCTTATGGAAAAGGCTGATTTTAAACTGTCATTGATGAACTTTCTCCTCGCCGCTAACTCGGCTGACGACGCCGAGCCCCGGTGCCCGTGGCGGCGCAGAGCCGAGCGCTCTGCGGGAGCGTGAGCAGGGTTGTGCGCTGCCTGGCGCGTGGCCCACCGTGCTGCCAGGGCACTCGTCCTTCAAGGTCCTGTCTGCACCCACACAACAGGCAGAACACAGCTGCGTTTTTCTGATCCCAGGTTGATCCGTGCTGCTAATAGCAACGTTTTCCTTTTGTGTTGTAAACTAAAGATATTTGCAATGGCAGTAACTAAGGTTAATCACCAACTTAACTTACTAATCTTTTCTCCCAGACTATGTTAAAGTTTTGTTTTTTTTTTTAAAAACCCTACATTTAAAGAAATAGACTACAACACTTCTCCAGTCATGTCACTGGAGTGTTGTATGATGATTAATTAATTTCACTTTTCACTGTAAGTATAAAACATGATTTTGTGTGAGCACTAGAGGTGACATATAAAATGCTAACATCCATCTGCAGAGGCTCGGCTCCTCCTTTGGTCGGTGCCCAGAGTGAGCAGCACGATGTGCCATCCCATTTCACTGACTGTGTTTGGCAACCAGTGCAGGTCAGCAGTGCACGAGGTGAACAACCACTGTGAAAAATGCACTGAAACAGATATTTTTAATGAGAGGAAATGCCCATAAGGTGAGGAAGGGAGAAGAACCACCTCCTTCTTTCTCCCACAGATGCCTAAATCCCAGTTTAAGATATTTAAGGGTAAATATGTGATGTGAGGTATAGATAGATGGAGACTAGTGTGGATCCAGCTGCTATCAATTATCAATGAAGTTCTAAAAACTAGTATCAATTAAGGTGCAATTAAGGTGAAGGCCCTTCCTAAACAAAAAGGGAGAATTGTGGATCCAGCTGCTATCAATTATGGTGAAGGCCCTTCCTACAAAAGGTGGTCCATTTCCCTCTGGCTGTGGGAGATGCAATAACCTGGTTTGGAGCTGCAGCTGGCTTCTTGTGAGTGACAGACTTGTGGCTGGTGTATGTGAACTTGGAAAGCAGTAACAGCATAGAGAGATTGAAATGTCCTGCACTAACTTGGTCTTTGGCAATCATTGCAGTCAAATGGGTGCTTTATTTTTATCAATTAAATTTATCCTATAGTAAGGATAGGGTGGAAAACTGCCAAAACTGCCACTAAATTTTGTAAGATTTGGATTTTATAACTCTTATGGATGAAAACTTCTGTATATCTGCAGTCATGTAACAACTCATGATATATGTAGAACTGGTGCTGACTACGTTCTGCTCTTTCCACCATGTCACAACTGCTGTACCTTGATATCAATTTACCAGAAAGGCCATCCTTGGTTGTAGAAATGTTCAGAATGAAAACATCAATCATCATCCTATGATCAGGAGTGATGAGAACCCACAGCAACACACAGTTCAACAGAAACACCTGTGGGAAGTTTGCATGTTGGCTGGAGTGAGCTGCAGTCCAGACAAGTGATGCCTTTTCTCCCTCACTACTAGAGAACTGAACAGACCTGCAAATGTTGAAAATGAGACATGTCCTTGAAGAAAGCACATAAACAAGAATTAACACAATATTTTTGGAAGTTACCCGCTACTTTTAGCTAGCATTAGTTAACTAGTATTAGCAAAGTCAAAGCAAATGACAAGAATTTAGTTGTGATGGTAAAGAAAACGTACTATGAACAGATATTTGCTGTTCTTCCTTATTCTGAACTTATTCCTCAAATTCTTGTGCTCAAGTGGTGGCTTAAGACAGCACTTACTTGACTGAAGGTGACATGAAATACGTCTTACCTTCTGAACAGGGACGGCTCAACCAAACCTGCCCTTGGCAGTGTTTCTAGAGAAAAACAAACTAAAACTCCAGACCAGAACATTTGCAGATGTGGGGGCTTAAAAAACTGGATTTGAACCCAGACTTCCCAAACATCGGTGACTAAGCTGAGGACTGGAGCAGTGGATAGTGCAAATCTATAGCCAGATCTGTAAACCTGGTCTATGGACTTCATGGGGCCAGTGTCCACTGGGACGACAGCGGGACAACAGGGCTGTAAAATGTGGGCAAATCAGCACAGAACAGCGAGTGCCGTTACGAGAACATCAGGCCATTCTGCGTGACAAAACCCACCAAAAGACCAGGGTCTGTGTGTTTAAATATGTCAAGATGTGTTTGACAGTCTCAGGAATGAAATGTAATGGTACTATCTTAAAAAATGCATGATACTAATCTTCCCAAAGCCAGGGATCAGAACACTGATCTAGTGTGCCGGCACGACTTACGAAAAGCTCTGAGGTGTTTTCATCCGCTGGTGGAGCGAAGGCGAAGAGCTGACCAACACCGCTGGTTTGGAGCGTGCCCTTGGGTCCAACGAAGTCTGACAAACCTCTCAAGGGAGGTGTCTCAGAGCCACATTTTAAAGTTTGAAGATCTCAGGCTTGTTGATCCTTGCCTTTGGTGAACA